GAGCTAAAATCCAAACCATACTTGGTTTTCAAACGTCTGATGCGATGGTGGGCGTGAGGGGATTCATCCCATAGCACTGAAGCAGCTAGCGGGTGTTACAGCAGGAACCCTCTCAAACCAAAGGTCTTGGGAAGTCTGGGGAGGTCCTTGCTCACAGAATTTTAGCCAACATTGTTCCAATTTATAAGAAGGGTGTGAGGGAAGACCCAGGAAACTGCAGGTTAGTCTAACCTCAGTAGTTGGATAAACAATGCAGAAGATCATACTGGGTGCTATTGAAAGATATTTGAAGAACCAGGCAAGATTCAGGCATAGTCAACATCAGTTCACAAAGGGAAAGTCCTGTTTATTTTAATATCCTTCTATGATAAGTTCACCTGCCTAGTGGATGAAGGGAAGGTGGTGGATGTAGTTTTCCTGGAGTTTAGTAAGGCTTTTCATACTGTCCCTCACAGCATGCCTCTGGAAAACTTGTTCCAACTGTGATATGAGCAGGTAGATGGTGTGTTGGGTCAAGAACTGGCTGAACAGCAGGGCTCAAATGTTTGTGGTGAATGTGGCTGCACCTGGCGGGTGATCGGTCACCAGTGGTGTTCCTCGGCGCAAGTCTAGGGCCGGTTCTGTTCAATGTTTTTATCAGTGATCTGGAGCCAGGGGTTGAATGCACCATTAGCAAGTTTGCTGATGATACGAAACTGGGAGGTGCTGTTGACTTTCTCGAGGGACAAGAGGTCTTGCAGAGGGATCTAGAAAGATTGAGCATTGGGCAATCATCAATGGCATGAAATTGAACAAGAACGAATGCCAGATTCTGCACCTAGGATGGAGTTATGCTGGGCACAAGTATAAACTGAGGGAGGAGTGGCTGGAGAGCAGCCCTGCCGAAAGGGAGCTGGGGGTGCCGGCCTGCAGCAGGCCTGGCAGCCAGGAGGGCAACGGCGTCCTGGGGTGCATCCAGCATATCACAACCAGCTGGGCAAAAGAGGGGATGATCGATGTAGGTCCTTCCAGCTGAACTCCTATTCTATTCTATTCTATTCTATTCTATTCTATTCTATTCTATTCTATATTCTATTCTATTCTATTCTATTCTATTCTTCTTCTTGCCACCTCCTTTCCCTGCCAGTACATGCTGAGGAAATCTTTCACGCCATTTGTTCCCAGCCCTGCACTAGCAGAAGGGGTTGAATGGGTGATCATGTCCCATGCTAGGCATTGGCTGTCACTCTGTGGGGTGGAGGCATGTACCTTCTGGTGGGGGAGAGCTGCGGATCATCTCGAGATAATATGAGCACCTGAACAGACTTGCAAAAAGGATGTGCTAAGTGCATGGTTTTTTGAGAGTCTCCAGTTCACCTGGGTCTCCACAGGATGGCAAAAACCCCACATCTCTGACACCTGCAAGACTCAAAGATCACGACCTCAGTCTGAAGTCCTCAGGAAGTCCTCCAAAACTAAACGGCTGCAAATCTTTCTGAGGTGACGCAACACAAGCGCGGGGCAGGCACGAGAGCGCTGTTTGTGCATCACTGGCCAAGAAGCACAGCGGAGCACGTCTGGAAAGGCAAAAAGGATGCTTGTCATCGATACGTGTCATACTTTGGAAAATATGCCACCGTACCGCACACCTCTTCTGCTTCTTCTTTTGTGTGTGGTCGGTCCTGATTCTCATACTTCAAGTCCCCACTCTTCAGGAAGCAGGGACTGCTTGGCCTGTATTCCTGCCGCTACTTTCCGTAGCTCTGTCACTGTCCTTTGCCAGACTGCAAGGGATATTTTTTTCAATCTCAAGTGAAGAATGCATCCGCCTGCTCCTGGCTACACCTGCATGTTGTGTGAATGCTTGTGAGCACTGGCTCTGAAGTAGGTTCAGAAATATAAAAGAGCATCAAATAAAAAGAAGAAAATAAAAATAACGTCCTGCTTCCACTTGGTAACCTGTGTGCTAGGTGTCCTTGAAAGTGATTCTGGAGCTGCAAACCCCCTGGCATTTCAGGGAAACAGCAGTCTCCTCGTCAGTCGACTCACGGTGGGCACAGGCAAGCGTAGACTAGAACAGGACAGGGCAGTTACGCTGTGCTCTGCCTAGAGTTATGCCCGACAAGCTGTGACCTAGGCCTGAGGGGCCCGCCCAGGAGAGCAGCTCTCTGCAGTGCAGGTCCTGGGCCCATCCAGGGGAGAGGGGCAGAGACAGGCATACCTACAGCACAGCTCAGGCAGGGACGGAAGGCCCCAGTGAGCTGAGACACCGTGTCCCCTGGGCCCTTGGCAGGAGGTGGTCCGGGTGGGGGTCCCAGGGGCGGCTGGTCCCAGCCACTGAGGCCTGTGAGCACTCCCAGGGCCCTGGCAGAAGGAGACCCGCTCTGCTCATGTGCTCTTCTTTCGACATTTATGGGTGGCCACTTTGGAGGCAGAGTGTTGGGCCAGACAGGCCTTCGCTCTGGTGGGGTACTCTTGTTCTCTGGCTCTTTTTCCAAGGGAGACAGCTCAGGCATTTCTGAAAATCAGCACAAGGAGAAAAACAAAATCCTTGGAGAAGCGACAGGTATGGGTCACCTCAGAAAGATTTGCAGCCGTTTAGTTTTGGAGGACTTCCTGAGGACTTCAGACTGAGGTCGTGATCTTTGAGTCTTGCAGGTGTCAGAGATGTGGGGTTTTTGCCATCCTGTGGAGACCCAGGTGAACTGGAGACTCTCAAAAAACCATGCACTTAGCACATCCTTTTTGCAAATCTGTTTGGGTGGTCAAATGCTCAAGATGATCCACAGCTCTCACCATTCCATCCCTTCTGCTAGTGCAGGGCTGGGAACAAATGGCGTGAAAGATTTCCTCAGCATGTACTGGCAGGGAAAGGAGGTGGCAAGAATAAGAATACACTAGACTAGACTAGAGTAGGCTAGACTAAATAGCATAGAATAGAATAGCATAGAATTGAATAGGAGTTCAGCTGGAAGGGACCTTCATCGACCATCTAGTCCAACTGCCTGAACCATTCAGGGCTGACCAAAAGATAAAGCATGATATTAAGGCCATTGTCCAAATGCCTCTTAAAGGCTGACAGGCACGGGGCATCGACCACGTCTCTAGGAATCCAGTTCCAGGCCTTGCCCGCGTTCTCGGTAAAGAACTGTTTCCTCCTGTCAAGTCTGAACCTCCTCTGAGAGAGGCAGCTTTGAGCCACATGTCCTGGCACTGGATCCCAGGGAGAAGAGATCAGCATCTCCCTCTGCACTTCCCCTCCTCAGGAAGCTGCAGAGAATGATGAGGTTGTCCCTCAGCCTCCTTCTTTCCAAGCTAGACAAGCCCAGTGTCCTCAGCCACTCCTCATAGCACATGCCTTGCAGCCCTGTCACCAGCTCTGTTACCCTCCTCTGGCCCGTTCCAGGACCTTAGCATGCTTTTTAAATTGTGGGGCACAGTTTACGGGATTGCGTTCTCATACTGTGTTCCCCCACAGTATGGGAATGCAGCTAGTACAGCTAGAGTGATTTATTTCAGGATGTGCTGTGTCAGCATACATTTGCCTTGTGCGGCCCTTTGCAGGGAGGAAAGCATGGTCTTAAAATGTACTGGTCAGCTGTTTGTTTTCAAGCATAACTCAAAGCATAGGTTTTAGCTCATAAATCCCATGTTGTTTGAAATCCTTGCTCCTTAAAGACTGTCTTTTTCCTAAAAGCCCTCTGGGACAGGGGGCACTCCTGGCAAGGGAGTTAATCTCTGGCCTCACTGTGTCTGCTGATCCATCAGATCATGTTTGGACACATGCAAGGGCCTGTTCGTCACACTGAGCTTGCATCAAAATGTTGAGATTCTTTAGCTGAATGGACGTACGCTGGCAGCTTTCTGCACTCATTGCACCAGTTTTGCAAACTAACTACCACCTGTGTGCTAGAAGATTGTTTGTCATCGTTTCTTTTACTAATTTAAAAAAAAAAAGTTCCTTTGTATCTGAATAGCACAATCAGTAATTTCATCACATCAGCATTCTAAGGTGGTTTCAGGTGGCGTAGAAAAAGCAAAACCTTCCGTCCTTTCTTGCAGCTCTCTTGCAGGCCGGTAGGACTCTGAAAGAGGGGCAATTGCCTTTTAGTGTCAGATGGCTGCCTAGCCAGCCAACTCCTAACCCACAGCACCATTATCAGCGCCAACCTTCCTCTTCACTCCATGCCTGCAGAATTCCTTTGAAAATTTGGTGACGGGGGTTCGTGCTCCTGGATAGTAAAGCTTATCCCGACAGGCAGCAGTGCCACTAACTGCATTGCACTGACCCACCAATGTTTCACCTGGTCTAGCTTTTTCAATGTCTGGCCTGATTTGGCACTTTTTCCAAGGAAACTTCCAAAATGGAAGCTCAGTTAATGCCAGCTGTGGTTATTTGCTTTCCTAGGAGGAGACATCCATTTCTAAAGTGACTGCACTGACACATAGTCTGAATGTACATGCCACTTTTGGCACCAATGCACCAAATTACGAGAATAGTACCTTCCTTACTCTTTCTGTACTCAAAATACTAAATCCTAAAGAAAAAAGAAATTTTCCAGGATTTTAAATAAGATATGGACATCTTGCCACAGAGTGAAGTAGGCCGATGGAATGGAGGGCTATAGGCTGTTCAGGAAGGATAGGCAGGGCAGGAGAGGTGGAGGAGTTGCACTGTATGTAAGGGGGAAGTTTGACTGTATAGCCCTTACAGTTAGGGATGTGATTTGAGAGCCTCTGGGTGAGGATTAGGGGGATGGAAGACAAAGCAGATACCGTGATGAGATCTTAAGGATCAGGGTTTACTGGATCAATCATGAAATTTGTTTGACTTGGGAATGAACCTGTATGATTTGTTTAATCTCTGTGGCATGCACAATGAACAATATGGTGAACGATATTCTTCCTGACTCTAGTTCAACTTCTAAAAGCTCTGCATAAAGCTCTACGTTATCATCACTGGTCTTTACTGCAGTAGTCTTGAAATCTCCCATGTATGTGATACTGTTCGTTCTGTCTAGGCAGGCAATGTGGTGACAGGAGAGATGGTAGAAGAACTTATTCTTTCCGGAGCAGATATTATTAAAGTGGGTATTGGACCAGGTAAGTCAAACCCAGACAAACAAGGGCAACTTCCGATAATGCTGGTGGAGGAGTTGTCCAGATGGAACCAGTGTATAATGCTGTTTGCTTGCCCATTAGGATGCCTAGACCCACTCAGGTTAATAAAGTAACAGTGTCCTTGCACATAGTATATTTAAGAAATACACGAGCAGGGTGCTAGTGTTTCATACTGCAAAATGTTATATATTGCATTTTCTGGTAGTGAAGATGCTTATTATTGGAAGCACTGAGTTGCCTGACTTACTGACATTATCACTGATAATGCATGTTGTGTTTAGGAACACGTTTTCTAGCCTGTTCAAAAGAGATTGAGTCAACCCAGCTAAAGCTCAAAGGATACTGTGTTCAGGTGTCCACTTCTATCAAGGTTTCTAAATAGCTTTATGATCTGTGTTTGGTTAAGCTGAGATTGCCCATATTGTCAATGTCTTCAAAGATTAAATGGCATTAATGAAGTGTGAAGTATGGGTAGCATTGCCTCTACCTGTTACTATTGCCTGGGAACTAAATCTTGCATTAATGCACTTACATGTTACCTATCACTGTAACATTCCCATAGATAAATGGGAGGACCCTAAACTTCTTGCAGTTTTTTTCTTACCTTCCCTTCCCTAATACTGTTGTCTTGCATATACTGCCATATTGATTTACTGTTTTTCTTTCTCTCCTTTGTGCATTTCTTCATGTGTGCCTTCCTCTTGCGATTTTCTTCTTACACTGTAGCTGGAGTCACCGTACATGGGATAGATTTTAAACTGGCTAGCACAAGTGCCAGAGACAGTATCCCTGTGATCAGCCAGTGCAGTGCATGCAGATTGTTTACTCTAGAATGCCAAATAGTTATGGCCTATGAATGGATAATTTGAGCAGAGCCAATCATGTAATAAAGGTGGCAGTTGTGCCCAGGAAGACAGCAAACAACAATAAATACTGCAAAATACATGTAGAACAAACAACAGAGATGTCATGGTGCAATTGTCACAGGCAAGTTCAGATATAAAAGAAGAATTATTATAGTTTGTAGCCTCAAAGTGGCAATGGTTAGGAGTAAATGCTGTGTAGCCCTCCCTGGACACCTTCCTGAACACATCTGTACAAGGTGACCACCCAAAACCACAAGTAACAAATGTTCCTCCCAGAAGATCAGATTTTCATGCTGTTTTCCAGATAATGGTCCGTCCCATGGAAAATGGCAGTGATTTATTATAAAGCATTACACATATAAATACATGCCTTGTGGAGATTATTTTAAAGGTAATTTTTCTCCTGTTTTGCAGAAATACTTCTCAGTGCTTTCACTTTGTCAGTTCTTTGAAAGATCTTTGGAAACTTTTACTTTACTGGTAGCTCGAGTATACCTGGATATCAGCTAGGTGAAATGATCCAAATTTCACTGCATTTGGTTTAGAATCTGTTGTGAAATTCTTGTTATCATGCAGACCTTTATGGTCTGAATCCTAAATTATAAGGCAGGCACTGGCAAAAAGCAGTCCTCATTTTGACTCTAATTTGAGGAGCAGAATAGAGAAGGTATTCCAAAAGATCTATGGCCATGTTACCATGTTGACCTGTAATTGAAGTGGGTTTTTTATATATATGTATATACCTTTATATATACATACATACATGAACCATGTATATGTATAAATAATGTTTAATAATCAGAAATAATTAGTATATTTCCTGTAACATTACACTATACAGCTTTCTGATGATTACTTATCTCACTTTTTAAATGCTGTGTGCTGATTTTTGTATATTCCCAACTATTGTGATCAACCAAACATTTCTGTTTTAAGTATTAGGCAAAAGATGTGTTTCTCTCCCTTGTGGAAGATCGCCACAAAAAAGAAAACAAAAGCACGGATTTTCCCTGATAATTATTTTTAAAAACATATGTAGAAAAGAGGTAGAAATATTTATTGGAAGAAATACTCAGGTATTAAATTCTGCTGCTGAGTCTTATGAGTTGTGACTCTGGTCCTTTTGTCCCCCTTCCCTTCAGGTGCCTCAGTCAGATTTGCTGTCTTGTGATGCAGTCGTTCCCTCACTGGGAAGTGTTACTGCTGAGACCTAAACTGGGAATTGTGGCCCTGGAGAAGAAGGGGGGGATGTTAGTCACCTCAGTTACAGCACTGATGAAGTGGTACAACAGCGTTTCAAAACTCAAGTTCCTATATGTTCCTTTTATCCGTGAGAAGCCAACATCATCAATAGACACTTCTTGAGGGAAAAAATAATACAGATGGAAGTGCATTTTTTCCACAAGAAAGAGAAAACAAGCTGTATCTTTTCTGTCAACCTAATGGGCTGGTTTTTCCTGTCATTTTCTTGTCTAGGCTCTGTGTGTACCACTCGGATTAAGACAGGAGTGGGCTATCCACAGCTAAGTGCTGTTATTGAGTGTGCAGACTCAGCACATGGATTGAAAGGACATATCATCTCTGTAAGTAAATATCATCTGCTCTCAGATTCCCACTGTGCAAATTGTTGTGGAATAGGAGAATCAAACAGTCCGGTACCCTGCATGTTAAAGGCTATCCTTCTGTCATCTCCAGTTGACCCCTATACTGGCTCCTAGGGTAGCCAGTGGAGATTTAAATGTAAAGAAACCAACTCCCTCTAATGTTTAAAAAGACTTGGGCACCTGACTGCTGTTTGTGCCTTTGGAAAGCTGCTTCTTGCTCCCTGAATGGCATAAACTGTTATGTGAATAGAACAGGAAGCTTGATAGTGTTTTCATGTTGAAGCAGACAGTAATTCCTACGACAGATTTCTGAAAAATGAATGACATGTAAATGTGGCTTTCCCCAGAGAGTGGGACTGAGGGACAGGCAGGCAGTAGAGGGAAGTACAAGGTAGAACGATTTGAGCCCATGTGTGCCCTAGTAGCTGGATTAATTTGGATAGCATCCTGACAGAGCTGTCTGTGCAGGGGCAGGAGTGTGTCAGAGGTGGCTCTATTGAGCACAGCTGGCATGTGAGCCACTTATGTTCCTACAAAACTCTGGGGAAATAATGAGCCTGTGGAGAAAAAAGGGCATGTTGCCTGCTAATGGCAGCTTCCACTCTACCAGCAAAACCAGATTCATCTCACATAGAAAAAGTAAATCTGTAAGCATGGTCTCAGACTGAGCTCGACGGCAGCCTACAGCACCCAAAGGTCCTGCGTCCTGAGGCAGGCCCAGGCAGCCAGTGTGCCCGTGACTGTGTCAGGCTGGTGCAGTCTCTGCAGGCTGGCTGTGAGGCAGCTGCTGAGCAGGATGGCGGAGTGGCTAACCACAGTGCTGTGCTCACAGGTACCTGCACGGCCAGCAGTCTCCCTCTGTGCCCCTAGAGGAGACCATACACTGAATTTTAGATCTGCTGGAAGGCCCTGACTTGTTCGACCCCGTTGTGACTAGTATCCGTGTGAGGAAAGGGATGTGTTGTGTTGTTGAAGAAGAAGGGGAGAGGAGAACAAATTGACTGTGGATGGGCAAAGGGCTTGACTGTGTTGAGCTGTGGGTATAATGGAGCAGGAAAACAAGTATGTGTTACAGTCAGATCTCTCTTACTCTTCATTGTTAATGTGTATGCATTCCCTCCTCTCCATGGCTCCCCTATATGAATTTTGCAGAAAGAAAGTAAAGCAGCCTGTGATTTTATGACTTTGTCAGTATTGCAAATGGTTATGTCTATAGCAGACATCAGAACATGTGTGCAACAGAGCATGAAAGACTGACTCATTACTATGAAGGCTGGATAACTATAGGTGTCATCCTAGCAGCGGTGCTCAGAGACCCATCCTAGTTTTGCAATAATCATTTTCTGCTAGCAACCCTCAGAAGAACGTTATTATCCTGATTTTACAAGAAAACAGGCAGTGTGTATTTAGCCTGTTGAAAATGAGATGGTGCTGTAAAATTCCTCCTCTCATTTCCTGCTTTGGGGATGGATCAGTTCCTGACCTGCTTAGCTCATGTTGGCTTCAGTGAGCCCACACCTGTCAACCCCCTAGCCATTACAGGGGGAATACAGGAGGGCAATTTAATACCTGTCAGCTGCAACATCTGGGCCAAGAGAATTACCTTCAGCTGTAACTGGGGTCTCTAACACCACTGCAACGCAACTCTGTCACCCAAGCTGAGGTGGAGCAAGGGTGAGGATACTGTGCCTGAATTCTGCGGCATTCGGATAGATACTGGTCTGTTCATTGGGGAAGAAAAGGCTGGACTGCATGGAAGTTGCCAGAGCTCTGGCAAGAGTATTGCAAAAGAGAGGTATCCTCCTGAGGGAAAAAAAACACATGGGAGCAAGCCTAAGTAGATTATTGGGTCTAGTGACAAGTGTAAATGCCATCCCTCAAGATATCTCACTCCTGTCATTATGTAGATATAGGAAGGGGCACACCCTGCCTTAGCCAAGGGAGACCTCTACAGGGAGAGTATTACCACAAGTTACCTGCGTCAATTTGGCAGGAGAAAATATGTCCAGCAGCTTTTTGTTGCATTGATGCAGAAGTAGCAGGAAGCATGTGAAAAGATTCAAAGTCTACCAGCTAGCTCAATGTACATTATAGCCGGTGGTGTGATACAGGTTAGTCCCTTGGGACGCTTTCTTGCATCCACTTCTGTCTGGTCCAGTACCTTCATTGAATTGCTCCTCTTTCTTGTTATGTTGGCTCCGTTTACATATGAAGGGAAGGAAGTCCCACTCATGGAATGAGAAAGTGACAGTGCTGAGGACAGTTACAGACACTGCAAGGAACACAAGCATACTTGAAGTCCATTCTACAGTAGCTCTGCTAGGATGGCAGCACAAACTGGGATTTTAAATGTTACTGAAGTCATCATGTATGATTCTTGGAGCTGATATGTTGACGAAGAAGGTAACAATTTTTAGGCAAACATGATAGTCCAAGTGAACGCCTGGTGTCTCTCTAGAGTCGTTTACACAGAGAAGGGGGAGCTGAAATTGTACCGGTTACTTTCCTCGTGCTAAATAATCTTTGAGATTCAAAGCTCACCTCAGAAACGCATCTTTCATGACTCACTGAAAGAAGAGAGGAAACCCTGTCTAAGATACAGGCACTGTTTCTGTCCCATGCTGTTTGTCTGGGAGCCAATAGTCTCATTTTTCACTCTCGCTATCCATTGGCCTTGAGAAAGTGCAGAGTGCGTTACAGTGGAGGGGCCATTTAGCAGGAGAGCTCCTTCAGAAACGCCCTACTGGAGATAAAGTTTCTGTTTCTTGTAGATCAGAGAACTACTCTGCTGGATAGAGAGGGAGTCACATATTCTAGTCAGCCAGCAATGTGAGGAATGGAAGGCAGCTTTTCATGTGTCCTCTCTCATTTGGCTATCGTTTGACAGAGATCCCTGTTTCCCCTTCACCCTGCCAGGGTGATGGGCTACCAGCGTTCAGTCAAGAGGGTGACTAAGGGGTTCTTCACCCAGCTACTGCCATACCAGCTCTTCCTGCACAGAGAACACTTTCCACACAGAAATATGCCCAGCATATGTAGTTCAGAATAGAGCACCATATGTATTGTTTCTACTGCTGTATATGCCACATACTTTATATATCTTCTGCATAATAAATAGCTGTTTGCTGACAGTGTAGGAAGGGCGGCTGGTTTTACAGTTTATTATAAAGGCTGCTTGAAGCATACAAATCATAGTTACAGACTTATTGTAAGTTGTTTATAATATTAAACATTCAACCAGTTCATACTGGTTTTCCACACTCTTCCTTATGCTAAATTTTGTTGTTGTAAAATGGTTTATCTGTTCAGAGAACGAGACTGGGGAAAATAACATTATTTTAATTAATTTAAGACAATTCTGTTGACTGGAAAGCTGTTTTCCCCTCTTCTTCAGCTTAGCATCCAGTTGTCTCGGATCATGCCCTCTACCCCATGGTCACCCTTCCAGTAGGCTTACTTCAGAATGATGCTAATTCTCCTGAATTCACAGGGGAATATGTAGAGATATATTTCCCCAGGGCTCTGAGGTAGAGGCTGACCCTGCAGCAAGCTCTGTGACTGAAGCCCAGCAGTTCTACAAGTGATTTTGAGTCCAGAGGCAGACCCTTTGGATGAGCTGAACTACAAGGGAAAGCTTCCCAGACAATGCAGCAGAAGCACAGTCTTATTTTCTAAACAGACCATGTGATTTTTCACATGGAATGAAGTGGTTTGATGCATATAGCATCTTCTGGCAAAACTGCTTAGTATGTCCCCTTTTTGTTTCCATTTTTGTGAATCATTACATTTACCTGCTTATATGAAGTAAGTGGAGACATCTACAGATAAGAGTGCTGTGAATCATCATCATCATCATCAGTTCCTTTTATCTTAAATGGTAACTCATGAGCTTTTGGGAAAGTCTCTTAATCTGCTCAGCATTTTGTAATTTGTTGACATTCAAAGTGATATTTTTTAAAGCCAATGATTAATGATTACACACTAAGGCTTCCATCCCCATGGTACCTCTGAAAGCGTAAAGCCTCCATCACTGCTGCCACTGGGCTAGTTACAAAAGTCGGACACTGAGCCACCCGACAAGAACAGACTGAAACCAGCCCTTCTGCCGAAGAGCACTCAGAGCCAGCCTGTCTCAGTCAGACAGCAAGTCAGGCAAATTCCTGACACTGCTCTTTGAAGGTTATTAGACCCCCTCTTTCTGCCTCGTCTCTTCCTCCCCTGACACACGCACACACACTCGCACTCTCCTCCAGGCTCTGACAGGCTTGTCAGAGGGAAAGAATTGTACAAGCAGAGCCCTTAACAGCAGAGAGATATTCAGCTGTCAGCCCAGCACTCCTTTCTGGAGCTGACAGCAAGAATGTCTAGCTCAACAAAAGGCATAATGTGCTAGAGGTTATCAGCAAATGGAATAAAAGCCTTTAAAGTTCTACTAGGCGCTGTTTGCAGTGGGATGCCCTTTGAAAAGCCATTCACTTTCAGATCCACCTGCTCAGTTTGTGTCTGAATCCTTTCCTGCACACAGAGAGGTTCTAACACTGAGCCCCACCACCAGCTACCCACAAAAGCCGGCTGTGAAATGGCTGATGGTGGGGGTGTCTGGCTGTGCTCAGCCGCAGGTCACGCACAGGCAGGCACTTCTGCCAACTGGGTGGTGAAACAAAATGAAGTATCCATACAGTCTGGGGAGCAGCTTCAAAAGCAGGAGAGCTGTCAGCAGCCTGCAATGGACCCTGATCATCAAAGGAATGGGGAGCCCTCTTGGTGCAATGACTGTGTAGAGAAGAAGGATCTTTCATCTGATGCTCAGACCTTTACAAAACCTGAAGAACCACAGCACATGATGAGCTCTGCTATGTGCCTTTCCTTTTTTACAGCCCTGTCACGCATACATAACCTCCCTCCCCTCAACCGAAACCCCCTCATCAGCCACTTCTTTGCTCTGCACTGAAACTGAAACACATAGGTCTGAAATGCTAAAGATCTCAAAGTGCTGTTGTTCCCTTACCAAACCCACAGCAAACAGTGAGGAGTATGATGAGAGATTAATTTTCACTTACCAAAGATTAGATTACCCAATTTGCTTAGACATTATCAGATCAAAATCCAACATAGCTGATGGTATATTTCCTCAGCCCTCCCACTGTGACCTTTTAACGTATTGTAAACTGCTGAGAAAGTTATTTTAAATGTCTTTGGTGGTTGAAGGTAGGGGTTTGTGGTGCCTGTGCATCACACAGCCTTTCATTAAAATGGCAGGGAATGATTCAGATCATCAGAGGAGGTTTTATTTTCCAGTTTCTGGGATTTAGGAGATGCAGTCAGGAATTTGCTTTGCTGCTGTTACCAGTGGTATTATCAGTAGACTACACAGTAGAGTAAATGGGCCTAAAGAAGGAAAGCAATAGGAAGGATAATACGGTTTCCCTAAAAGCTCAGCCAAGGTGGTGCAGTCAGCTCTTGACATGCCACTCCGGAGCAGGGCCTGTTCTGCCGCAGGTCACAGGGTGCTCGTGCTCGCTGGGTCCCCAGGTGAGCTGACTGCCACTCACTGTCGTCTGTTCTTTGTGCAGGATGGAGGATGCAGCTGCCCGGGAGACGTCGCCAAAGCCTTTGGTAAGGACAGCGCATGGTGCCACCTGTGATGCTCCGCGTGTCCCTCTGTTGCTCCCCGTGTGTCCCCAGCACCAGCAGCAGGGGTGCAGGGGTCAGTTCAACCCTGCATGTATAATCAGCAGTAGATCACGTTCATCCCTGTGGGTGACTCCAGTGAAATTAATACACCAGACATGAATTTGCTCTTTGGACCAGGCAGTCCAAATTCTGCAGCGCAAAGCATATGGTGGTCAAAGTCCTATGTAGAAACTGTCTGGCAGGTGTGCATGAGATACAGCCACTGGGACAATAATACAAAGAAAACTGATAAGGGTTTCTTCTGAGTAGGGTTCAAAGATGCCTGTAACATTGCCAGATCCGGCTGACTTGGGCCTTGAATGGATGAAGAGATGGTGGAATGTGTGTTGGGCAGAAGAACAAAACAAAAAGGCAGGGCAGATCCCTGGAGATTTCTTGGGATCAGCTGTCCACTTGAAGAGATGAGATTTTATTTATACTGTATCCCATAGAGTTGAGCAGATGTCTAAAACATCTCAGTTAATAATTAACAGATTTTGCTCTCATGGCAATAGCTTCAGTGAATTGCACCAGCTCTTGCTGACAGAACACAGAATTTAATCTGTGAATATTTTCTGGTGGGCATGAAAGTTACATGAGTGGGGAGGTCACGGTCAGGATTGTCACTTAGCCATAACCTTGTTGCAGCAGTGTATGTGAACCAGGCGCTAAACATATCCTGGGCTGACAGGGCATTTAAAGACACTCCCCTAACCCCCAGAATGCCAGACCCTTTGGAGATGTCACAGTGGGGTAATACCCGGAATTCAGTGGAACAGCACAGTCGCTCGTTGGGATTTCAGGCTGGTACGATACAAGAGATAGGACATTATGATACAGCATGTCTGCTTGGCAGGAAGCTTTGCAAGTATGGAAAGCAGGAGCAGGCCTAAACTCGGATTACAGACCTGCCAAGAAAAACTCTGGGCCTCCTGGAAAGGTTGAAACCAAAATCTGTCTTCTAAGTTTGCACACAGCTCCTGTTTTTAGACAGGTCAGATGACAAGGAAGACTTAATTAGAGAATTTTAAGCACAGCCGTGGAGTGATTGCTACCAGCGAGGAATCTGCTCAGTCACAGGATTTCACAGTACTGTTGTGTTACCCAGTGGGTGATGTGACGTAGGGAATAGATACTTCCACTTGGGTGATTCTAACATAGCTGAACAGTGGCATCCACCCTCTTTGACAGTAAGACCGTATTAAAAAAACACCCGACCTCTCCTCAGCCCAGCCCACTGTGGCATCATGCCGCCTGCAGTGAGGCCTTTGTTCTGCCTGACTTTCGCTGGCTCCTCCGCTCCCCCAGTCCTTGCTGGCATTGTCCTTGGGAGCTTGTGAACTGGGAGTGTGACCTCACTGCATTCCCAGCTGCATGCACAGAAACCTGGCCCCTGGAAAAGGTCTTTCTTTAACGGGAGCGCTTCCAGAAGTTAGAACAACAGAAGGCAACTTCAAAGTGTTTAAAATGTTTTCCTTTGAGATGTTTGTAGCAAGTCTGAAGGGTCCTTGTAGTCTCTTTGGGCTAACTGCACAGAAACTTGCTTGAATCCTGTGAAAGGGCAGGTTCTGGCCTTGCTGATTGTCAGGAGGTGCTGAGATTCACAGTGGTACATGTTTGAAGGCTACCACGGGTTGTCCCTGCGACAAAGCAGCATCAGAAAGCTGAGATTATACAGGCAGTAGTTTTACTCTGACACTAGGCCAGACAGATCAGTGTGGCCTGTGCGTCACAGGTACAGGGCTGGAACTGATAGAGATTACCCCGAGGCAATAAATTTACCATATCTGGTCACGTATAATTGAGGCACACACACTGTGGACATCTAACTAGCTGGAGCGTGGTGTGCATTTGTCAAAGGTGGGTGGCAAAAGAAGCTTCTGGATAACGTTATTGCTATCAGTGTTTATTGAATGCTATTGAGGTGATTGGCTATGTCAGCCACGTAGAAGATAGCCTCCGTGCCCAGCATTTACAAGCCAACGCCTTGATACTGATACTGAATTGTCTAGCAGAGACCTCTGTGCTTGCTGAGAGTGGCTTGTGGGGGGGAGGAGTTGCATACATATACTGGGCAGCAGAGACCGGGTGCTAAAACACACAGATGTACAGTTGTACCTGGGGATGGAGGCCTGGACAAAGCATGGACAAGAGACCCAAAGAGGACTTTTGGTTAAAGTAATTATACTGTCTCTTTTTGGTGGATCTTTGTAAAGCCTTCATGAAAGGGATGTTGAGGTGTTCATTATAAAGCAGTGACAAAGTAGCCATTTGAATCATAAAAAGCGTGAGGGAGGCCCGAATGTGAAGGCTGGCATTGACAGATGGCTAAAGATTGACTGGAGGAGGGGAGTTCCTGGGCCAGCAAGAGTAGAGTGGATTGAGTGCAAGTGAAGAATTGTGAAGAACCATGAAGAAGATGCTGAGAAGCTTTCCAAGTGTAAGGTGACACCATTGACTGATATCAGGAGTCAGAGGCAGACTGGGCATTTTGACAGAGGGGAAACAAGGCGGAAGCCTATTTAAAAAGGCAAGGAGCAGAGAAGCACTGAAGGTGGGGAACAAAAATGCCAGGAGTGACAGACACTTTGGGAGAGACTGCTGGAATTCTGAACTGCTGGATGGGAACCTGGTATGGATTTGGTAAAATGAAGATGTTGCTGCCATCTGGGTATTGGAGATGATAATGGAAAAGACGTAGGCTGATCAGGAAGAAAAGAGGTGTTCTGGTGCAGGAATAAGAGAAAGCAGGAAAGAACTTTGTGCTGGTCTCTCAGATGGTTCACATAACTGCACCCTTGGAAAGGCTGATAACATGAACACATTTCTCAGAATTCCCCAGGGAGGCACTACTGTCTCCTTTTTTAAAGTTGAGAAGTCAAAGCACAGAAATACGAAGTTCAATTGCCTGAGGTCACATATATTTTTGTGACACAGCCAGGAACAGAATGTGCCTTTTGAATCCTACGCCAGCATCTTTAACACAATACTGCTGTTCCTTACAGCAGTGGTGAGAAGAGATAGAGGAACAGAGAAGGAAAAGGAAGCAAAAATCATGTGGAAAAGTCAACTGGGGACATATACTGGTTCCAAAATATACCTGACAGATCATGCTGGCTTTTTTCCCTGTTTTACATAGCTCTGTGTGTGTGCCTACTCTTGCAAAGGATCGCTGGCTCAGCTGGAGTGCAGGTGAATGTTGATTCCCGGGCCAGCTGTGGTCCAGGCAAACTTAGGCTGCATCTGCCTGGAGGGCTGCCCAGGCTACAAATCCAGGCTGGCCCCAGTTGAATTTGTGCAGAGCCAATCTGGTTATCAGGAGTTTGGATTATCAGGCATGCACAGACATCTGAGGGCCTCCGTCCAGATCCAGCAGAACTGTGCAAAATAGGGCTGGCGTCAGCATGCATATTCTGTAACGGCTTGAAGGAGAACGCACTGTGAAATGTGAATGAGTAAAATCAGCCCAGAAACGGTGTAGGCCTCAAGGGGGAAGACAGTGCTTGGAAGTGGCGTTGTGTAGAAACAGGACGAGTCATCGGACTCTGGGCAAGCTACTGGGATGCTTGTATACAGTGTACACCATCACAGCCTATGTTACCTGGGGGTTGTTGCCAGGTGTTCACCCCCGCAGCAACCTAAAATGATGGCACGCTGTCTGTGTGTACCTGAAAATGAAAGACTGCCAGCTGGGTGTTGCAAACATCACCAGTGCTTCTGGTCATACACAGAACCATGCATAAGTAAAGACCTTGCTAAAAACTACAGCCTCCTGGTTGGTTGGTAACTAGTAGAAAAGCAGTGGAACAGACTTGAAACTTTCAGACTTCTTTGCAACACTGAAGCAGGATGGAAGGTTCTGGAGAGCACTGGAAAAGTATATTTATTATGAGCTTGTCATTCTTGGAGCAGCAGGGCAGTACGCATGTGTCAATCCAGTGTTTAGATGTACTGCGTCTGCTGTAACATAGCTCCTCTCTTCTGGAAGAGCTTGATGAATTATGTTGCAGTTTGCGAAAGTTACTCAAGTTGGATGAATTTCAATCCTGTAATTCAAACTTATTTGCTTTCCTCCCAAAATACGCAGTCGAAAGAAAAATAATAAATAGAAACTTAAGTGCACAGGAACCAAAATACTGTGATTCTGAAATGTAGATTTCATGTGACTGTTCTGCATTAGTAATTTGGAGGCTGTGAGACCCACAACCAGAGACAAGACTAGAATTGGGGATCAGGGGATAGTATGGACAAGGTGAAGAGTCCACAGTGTCCTTTGGCAGGCCTTTGACTTGTTTAAACGCCCTCTTTGAAACCTTGACCCCAAATCCGTCCCTCCTTCCTCATGTTGTTTTCTTCCACCCATGAAGAAGACATCAACTAGATTTCCCAGGGTACTTATTTTTTGCAAAGGTGGAGCAAGACTGTGCCGAGTAACAACAGGAGCTCCCCACCAGTAATTGAGAATGTCTTAAAGGATGATCGTTCCCTTTGTTTTTGGCAGGTTAATAGTAATATCAGGTGTGAATCAAACTAAGGCTTTAAAACTCAGCCATCTGAAACGAGAGCTCAGGAAAAACCTGCCAGGTAGCCGGCATGATGGGACACCTGAATGGGTGCTGGCTATAAATATTGCTTGTGATGTGCTCAGCAGTTTTGCACAAGCCTCATTTTTAATATCCCTTTACCATGGACATACTGTTCCTTTCAAACAACCACCAGGCAAAGGGCGGTGAGGTCAGCAGAGCCGCTCGGTGCTTTGCTCCCAGACATTGCTGCTAGGTCTGCTCTTCGGCAAAGGGGTGGAGGGAGGGAACTGGCTTTTGTGAATCGAAGTGTGCACGCTCTATGGTTGTCATGAATTCTAAGATCAAAATATTCCCAAAATCAGGTTTGTTTACAGAGCTTTTAAACAGATGGCAGAAGCTGAGCGGATTTGATATCGGTTTCACTTACTCTTCAGATTTCAAGGTCCAGTGCTATTGTTTCGATAGTGACAGAGATCAGAGCAAATTCTAATGCCAGACTTAGCTAGCCTGGGTTCTCCCCAGAGTTCGGACATGTTCATAAAGGGGTGGGGTTAGTTCAGGCTCATCTGATTTCTATGAAGTGAGGTTTGTAGCCCTGTTGTTTTGCCAGTTGTGGGAAGAGCTGGGCAGAGGGAAGGCCTGTTCTGACACATGCACATTGAAGAAGCAGGGAGTCTGAACAGGAAAACATTTTTCTTCAGGGATGGGTCACCACAGTCTCTTAAAAGAGTAAAAGCCAAACTCTTCCAAGCAAGACTAGATATGCCAAAATATCACAGGAGGAGCTGCTGGTGGATTAGTTCCAGCCCAGCTGGAAATACTGGAAATCACAGTAGAAAATCAAGAGTGATTCCAAAAACCTTCTTCCTGATCTTACTCCCAGTGGAATTCATTTCATGATTTGCAAAGCCAGGGGAGAGGGACAGACTGAACTGACAAGACTGAGTATTCAGTGTTGTTATTCGTTATCTGGAACATATTTAGGTGTTGTAGCTATGGGTTAGACCTCCTTTGTGGTGCACGCTGAGAACCACAGAACCCAGGGGTGGTGGTCCTTGGCCCAGCGTTTTTAAACAACAGGAACCAAATGCAGACCCATCCAGATCTCTTTGACAAGAGATCACTGAAGACATACGGCTGATGGACTTGGAAAATTGATCATTCCATGAAAAAATCTGCTTGTTTTATGTCATTGTTGGGAGGAGTACATTACGTTCATGAGTATGCCTTCCTCCAGGGTACGTTCCCACTCACAGCTTGTAGCCTAGAAGGGTCTTGAAGTAGGAGCTGTCCTCTTCTCTGTACAGCATTGAGCTCAACAGGTCCCAGCCCTGTGAGCAGGGCTTCTGAGTACTGCAGTCACAATAGTAGTTAATAAGGAACTGTGCTTAGATACTCTTATGAAGTAAAGGGTTAAAACTGAATTTGAAAATAAAAAGAGTGTGGAGTGGAGCAGAATAATCTATATCTTTGTCATCACAACAGAAAATTATTATTTCCATTTAAAATACCAGAGAAATACAGTTCAGCACGTCAGTTACTCAGTAAAGCATTTCTTCCAAGTTTGCCCCATCTATTACAGGAGGGGACTCTGTGTACCAAACTGTTTAGGGCTGGCTATTCTTTTTGATGGCCACTGTGTTCTTGCTTTGTCTTTCACCTTCTTCTCCCTTCCCTGCTTTCTTATGAGTCACTTTGCTGATCACAGGAGCTGGTGCTGATTTTGTCATGCTTGGAGGAATGTTTGCAGGCCATGACCAGTGTGCTGGAGAGATTATGGAAAAGAATGGCAAGAAAGTGAAACTCTTTTATGGAATGAGCTCTGATACAGCCATGAAGAAGCATGCAGGAGGGGTCGCTGAATACAGGTATGAATCCCACACAAAGGAGCAATTGCAGTGAGCCAGCCACCCAGTAACTTCTGGAGTGGTTGTGCAAAACGCATCTGTTGGAAACAGTTCCATACCTCTACTCCTGTTTAGGAAGCTGTTACCAACACTTACGGCAGCAGATCTGAGGGAGGGATGACATCAAGGGGGAAACGGGGAGAAGGAGCTGGGGGGTGGCTAGCTGAGAGCAACTGTGTTCACTCACTCGCAGCCAGTGCAATATGCTGTCACTGCAGCACTACCTGTGTGGTCTGGGAAGTCATTAGGCACTGTTCTGACTTACAGGGTCTGTTGGGATGTGCCTGAATTAAGTGCTGGGACATGGCATAGCAGGCTGCAGTTTCTGGCCCTCTGCTTGTCCAGGTTGAGTGACCTGTTGGTGTATGGGTTCCCAGCTGGCCCACGCACTCCCTTGAGTTTGCAGAAAGTGGGTGCCTGGTGAATCAGTGAAACCCAGCTGGGGTTTCCCTGGTGTAGAGTTGTTGCAGCTGTAATGCTGAGGAGGGCCCAGGACCTCCAAGGTACTCTCAGTCACAGGCATTAGCCCCAGGACTCCCTCCTGTGTTTGCTGGGCAGTCTTCTTAGGCAGCAGAATCCTGCTGCACAGATTTCCCACCCCTTTTTGGGTTGTGGAGCATCAGACTATCCCGACATCATGCAGCATCCGGGAGCTTGGATTTTGAGCTAAAACCCTCAGGGGAGAGAAAAGGAAGACAGGCTTTGCAAAGGATTGTCTTGTCCATTGCTATTTTACTCTGCAAAGTGCTGAGAGTTTTGGCTTTTTGAAAAAGTAGATGACTCTGAAAACCTCTGTGTCTTTTCTCTTATGTGGCAGTTATAGTCACTGCCCTTGGACAACATGGTTCTTGCATACTTCATTAGAGAATGTTTCCTGTCTTGCAGTATACACTGCTTTATTGAGGGGTCCCTTTTGATTCTTCTCTGGTGGGGTAGATTCAGGCTCTGGTCCCGTCTGGCAGACTGCTGTTTGTAAGAGTCTCAGAGCCAGTGACCTTACCTACTATTCGGGACATTCAGGACTGATGGGTTTTGTTGGCCTAGTCTGCTACAACTGCTCCAGCATGTGGGTTTTTCCCAACATGTCCAGCTGCTACCACGGGTAAGAGCTGCAGCACTGTGAAGGTGACAGTGCAGAATGTAAAGCAGAATGGAATCCACGAAACAACACGGAGTTCACACTTTGACACAGAGACATGCTGATAGGATGCTATCCAGCCATCATGCTAGATAGAAAGCATCCTTGATTCCACCTCCTGTCCTCCACCCCGACACTGGCTCTTGCAGTTTTCTGAAGAGTTAAAATGTTTGTTTGCAGAAGAAAGAGCTACACAAGAGTCCTTCTGCATCTGCAACAAGCTGAAGTGATGCACTAGAAAGATGTGCTGCATACCTCTGAGCTTTGATTCACGCTAGGTTGGTATGCCAGTTCCCAGAAGCAGTGTACAGTTCAGGGCTTTTTTTTGTCCCCCAGCGAATCTGCTTGTCATCAAAGCCTCTGAACAAATGGTCGGAGTGGCCAGCGCTAATAATAATCTCACAATTTAAAAGTGGCAGCTGCCAGTTACGCAGAGGTGCTGGCAACCTTTTATCTGAGCTATGGTAACTTACTGTCCTTTGCTACTCTGTGCTTACGTCAGCTGGGAGCATGGGAAACCCCTCATGCTGGTCAGGTTTGTAGTTAATGGCAGCTCCCTGAGAGATCACAGAGCAGCCCAGGCACGCTGCACGGATCTCAGTGCAGCATAGTCATTTAGCGCTTGGCCGCCACAGAGCTGGTGAAAGTTGCAGGAAAAGTTTGAGGAAGCTTGCTGTACCAGTGGACTAAAGCACTAAGGCAGCTGTTAAATTCTGCTCCACCTAGTTAGGGGTGTGTGTGATCTGGCAGCAAAATTTATCACCAGCAGAAGAATTAATTGACACTGGTCCCCCTTAAAAATGAGATAAAGTGCAAGTGTGATGTCTGGTAGGATAGGTGTACAGAAAGGCACTGTATTTGGCTCAGTCTGGATAGACCCTTTCAATTCCTTATAGGCAATCCTGCACAAATTCTGCTTGATCCATACCTATATTTTGATTTGCATCCTGATTTTTAGAGTCTGCTGGGGATCAAGTTCTGAAACCTTCTCAGCAACAAGGGAACAGAATCACAATCTTAAATTTTTAGTTCCTGTTGAGATGCTGCCTTTTTGTGCCACTAATCGGTAACATAGAAGGAGTCCTCCAGTCTACTGGTAGCTATAACAGCTCCAAGCATTAAATATGTAAGCCTTGGCTGTTAGCTGTGAAGGAGATGATTCTCATCTTGTTCACATTGCAGCCACGACACAGAGCTGGCTACCCATACCAACCTTGGTCTTGGTCTTGCTTGGCATGTCCCAGCATGAGTGTCATTGTGGTTTAAAAATAGCAACTGTTTAGTTATCGAGCACTGTAAATGCACTGGGCCTTGAAGGGGCAGGTGGAAACAGGGCAAGGCTTTGCTTTGAATTACTCGTACAGAAAAAGTTACAGGAAGTTTAGTCACTGGTTTAGCTTATGGCAAACTTGAACCAAAAGAGTTAAAGTTTTGCTGGATACCGCAAACAGGTGAAGTCAGTGGAGCTTCTTTATATGCATTTAAATAAGCCAGCTCTAAGTCTGTATCAGTGACCCCAATAAGCTGCTTTGTCTTTAAAAGAGCCTGAGCACTCACAGTGTTTTATTCAAGCAGTGGGGAGCTCAGTGTGCTCAGCCCCCTGCAGAATCAGACTACTTGTCACTTCATCTTCTCAAAATTACACGTTTTGGCTGGAGAACCTGGGCCTCCAGCAAACAGTTAAACTAAAATTGACAGGTAAGGTGAGATGGCTGTAGCAGGGAATAAAGTAATGAAAGTGATTGTTTTTGTAATGAATATGTCAAGTTGATCCCATTTAATTTTGTATGAAATCTGTGTACACGGTTTCATTGCTTTTATGTCATTTATATATTGGTTTATTTTTACATTTTTACCTCCTTCCATGAGGAACATGGATCAGAGCTGGGAATTTCTGAAAAGCGATTATTACATTTCTTTTATAGGAGAAAAGAAATAAGGCAAGCAGGAATAGAGACTGCACGCAGTATTGTTCAGTTAGAGCCAATTTGCTTTTTGAGATTTCACAGGTTTTGTGTGAACGCTGCAGTTCTACTATGGTCACTCAGCAATTCACAGCTGCTACTAAGCTGGGTTTTGGCACTTTATAAGGTGGAATTTGGGCCACAGAGACAGAACAGCACCAGCAGCTGGCTGCCACTTGCTGTCTTTTTCTGTGTCCCCAATGAGAGCCTGGAAGACCTGCCCCAAATTCCTGGCATTTCTTGAATGCTCCACTCGTAAGATTGCTGACCCTTTATCCTGACCTGTGTTTGGCTGGGCTGACAGGGCCCCCGCTCATGTGCTTCACCTCACCCACCGTGCTGGGACTCCCACCCACCCTGTGCATCCCCCCATGCCAGCAGCAGGCATGAGCTGGCTGGGAGTTATGGGGCGCACCACAGATTGGACCCTGTGCAAAATGTCTAAAGCAGCTAGGCCTCCCTTTCTATTCACCGTTCAGTGGCTAGTGAGAGACACAGTGTCTGCTGATAGCATCTGAGCACACCTTTCCAGCTGTTGGGAGTCCCAGCCGCTGCATCTTTCTGTTACACCCTTTGTAATCCACGCATGGCCTGTGTGCAGGCATTTGTTGCTGGCAAAACAGTCTACACTTGGGGATTTTTTCCTTAGTTTTTTTGTTGCCAACTAACACAAACTTGTAATCACTCTTGTGTACTTAAACATGTAAGTAAACATTCCTCCTGATTTTCCAGATTCCACTTAAGCCAGACACTTCTCTTCACCCTGCCATGTCTCAGCTCCCCTTACTTTCACCGCAGGTCACACTCAGCCTGTCCCACCTCCTTCAGTGGCACAGGACATTGTGATCATGTGTGTAATGGTTTCTGTCTGCCACTCCTCCTTACTGTGCCTGCTCCATGGTGGGTTGCCCACAGGCCCACAGGCCCTTTGGGCCTGTCCCTGATCTGGCACGGGTCACCTGGGGACTACCGTCCCTTTGGGAGTGCACACCTTGGGCATGGAGCACCTTCTTTTGAGAGTGCATCTCCAGCTGCATGTCTCCTCAGGCGTGTCCAGGCGTCTCTCCTCTCCCAGTGGCTGCTGCTCTTTCTTAAATGTGCTTGAGCAGTCTCCTGACTGGCTGAAATTTTGGTGGCTCACACTGTTTTCAGAGCCAGGTGGAACCATCTCTGTGACTGGCATGAAGCAGATCATGGTCTTCTCCTGTACAGGTCACGCCAGCAGCCCTTGCTACCCAAACTCTACCATATGTGCCCAACACAGCATCCACGTGTGTTACAATTGGGTGCTCCTGTGTAAATTAACTGGGTGCTCATGCATCAACAAACTGGGCACCCGTGCATGTAGTAACAGCACGCTTGGGCATAAAGTATTTGGGCATGCATGCATGAACTTAATTGCATGGTTATGCAAAAATTAATTGGGCATTCATGCAGAAATTAATTGGACACTCATGTATTAATTTACTCAGTGCTCATGCATGAACTAGTTTGGCACTCACACAAGAACGCAGTAAGCCCAGCAATTTACAGCCCATATGGCACTCCTCGCCTCTGCAAAGCACATATCAGCGATCTCCCTGAACATTAATCCACTATGAACTCTTCAAACATCATCACAATCTTAATTTACATCAGTTATAAACTCCAGTCTTCCTCCATTTGGACCCGACAGAAAGGATTAATACTGTAACAGTACACTTACTAAAATATCAGTCCTCCATCCTGAGCACCACGTTACAGGGGTTAACCTCACAGTTTGGTTATGGACCCATCATAACCCCATGCCAGGACCAGACTACAGCGATTAATAGTGCAACAACATGTGCACACACTTCGTAAAATTCCACCCACTCTCTCTTGGGAACCGGATGACGGGACTCATCAGCACGGTCTGAGCTGTTACCTGTTACAAACTCTACCCCTTTCCCCGGGGATGAGAGTATTGGGGTTAACGTTAACACAGCCTGAATCTGTACTCATCACAAACCTCACCGCCTGGTCCTTGTGGACAAGACAATGGAGGTTAGTATTACAACAATCTGAGCACATGCTTATTACAAACTTCACACTTTGTTTCTGCAAAACACATAACCAAGAAAGACCCAAGAGTTTGAATATATACCCATTACAAATGCCACCCCTCAACCCTGTGGACCCCTAGCAGGGTTAACATCATCATAATCTCAGTACTTGCTACAAACTTTAGGACTTATCCCTTCGAAACAACCAGCCACGAACATAATGGCAGTTCAGGTTACTCACTGTGTTTTAGCATAAAAGCATATGATTAAGATCATACAAGCAAAAATTAACACCACTGTTGAAGGCAGGGTCATGAGTTCAGTACCTCTAGGGCTTCATTTACCTCCAAAATGGGGGGGGTGAACAGTGTTCACATGCAGCAGTGTGGCCATTTCCCCATCTGGGGAGTCAGATGAGACACCAAACAGCCATAACAACATGGACTGAGCTCTGATCTTTTTGCTGTGCTTGCAGTTGATTAACTCGTAGCTCTACAGTTCTGTCCCACTTCCATCCTATGCTCCTCCTTTTCCTTCTCGAACACCTGTTGTTCCCAGCATGTAGGGTGGGAGCATGGAGAATTTTCATCCCTTTTTGACACTTTTTTCCAAGGATGAATGTAAGGCTGGACTCTCGGCATTTTCTGTGGAGCTAATCTCACACCTCTCCCAGCATGCTTCCCCCAGTACAGTATCTACAGGTTACTCCTCGATCAGCAGGACATCCCACCAGCTTATCAGCTGATACTAGAGGAGCAGTGGCAACTGTTGAGCTGTCAGAGCTTTGGGGCTGTGATGCTGGGTGTTCACCAGTTTTGTAGGTTTTGGTCTCCGAAGCCAAAAATGGCATCCCACCAGCTCCAGCTTCCTACCACCACCATAGCCACGGCAGGGGCATCTCCCCAGGGCAGTGGCTGTAAGTGTCCCACATTTCTAATTTTGCTCTGAAAAAAAGGACTGCCAAGTGTTCATGCTCTCGGGAGCAATGTTCCCACCTCTGCAGATCTGTTGAGGCATTGTGACTGGGGCTGCCTTTGCTTGCAGTTATCTGTCTGCTATCAAAACCCTACAACTTACGCCCCACATGATGCTCAGGCATGAATTAACAGGGCACTCATGCATAAATTAAATGGACACTCATGCATGAACTGAATGGGCAGTCATGCATGAATGCAGTCAGCCCTGCATTTCTTGCCCAATATAGCGTGCAGAGCTCTTTGGATGGTGGGACCTGGTAGACAAAATTGGCACCAGTTTCCCCAAATCCCAGATTCGCACCGTCTGTTTATCACACTCACAGGAAGCTTCCCAGAGGCTGAGCTGAACCTCCCGACTTTGACTGGAGGAGGTGGGCATGGCCAAAAAACCAAGCTGCAGAATGTCAGCATGACTACTTCTATGTCATTTTGTAGGCAAGGCCTTCTCTTCTTGCTGGCACTGAAGCTGAAAATAAAAGCCTGTGACCTCCCAGCAGTGCAGGGTCTACGAGACACCACTGGTTCCCGTGCAGTCTACTAGATGGCAGTGGTACATACATTTTCCATTGGCCGCTTCTACAGTGTTTATTTCAGAGTTTCAGGAAAGAGTCAGTTACTTATCAGACATAGGGAGATTAATCATGGTTCCTTATTCACACGGCATATTAACACTTCTCCTTTATTGTCTCCCTAGGGCTTTGACCTCACATTTAAACTAGCAGAATGAAATACAGCCGGGCTCACACTAAAGTACCTCCACATAGCTGCTGTTGCTGTGTTAATGATTTGCAAATGGAGCCTCCAAACAGGCATGCCCTTTTTTTCTTGCACTATCCCCTAGACAACTTGTTTAAGGGAGAAATAAAGCCACATTTACAACAGTGACAGATCCTTGCTGCCATTTCTGCCTCCATTTTTTAGGGGAGAAAAAGAGCAATCCCCTCTCCCCTCTGCATTTCTCTTAGACCCCCTTCCCAAGGGCCACCTCCCCAAAGGGGCTAGCGTGCTGTGCAGAACAAGCTTGCTCTAAAGCCTGGTGAGATCAGCTGGTGATCGGGGAACTTCGCTGCAGGAGGAACTGCTGAGCGTGAGGCTGGAGAAAGGGAGGGGGTGAAAGCTGTTGGCCTGAATTCTTCCGTCGTGTAATTCTTCAGATGTGCTTTTGGGGACAGTGCAATCTCTGCTGGCATACGCCTGCACTTGACAGTATTCACAGAGCTGCTGGTTTTTTTCTGGCCTTTTTGCCTGGCTCTGAACTGTGCTAGCTCGCCTTTTAGCTTCAGGGGACAGCTCCGCAGCGGGTTTCCGTAACAGGTTTCCCACTCCATCTCTGTGGGCTCTGGAGAATCAGGCTGGTAGGAGACAGCCAGAGCATTTCCATCTGCATCTGGTCAGTGACATGGGACAGAGCCCAGGGGCTGCAAAGCCTCTCTAGATCTGTGCTGAGCGGTGCCTGCTGAGAACCAGCTCCAACACGTCTGTAGGTTGCCTGAGCCTGGCCATTTCTTATACTTTAAGATCTTGCAACTCCGAAGGTCAAATTTACCTTTCAATAAACCTGGAAGCTTCACTTGCTTGTAGGCGGACGATGGAGGGGAGGTAGATCTGTAAATACACTTGTGGCATATTGGGGCATCTACAAGATTTGTCTGCTTCTAGTTCACAGTATTGGTGGTGACTGGAGTTGAGGCATTTCAGTGCTTGAGAGCACCAAGCAGCAACAGGCAAGCAAGCAGTAGAGCTGGGGGAATATTTGTAAGCTGCAGCATGCAGAGCAGTAGGCTCCACGTTGCACCAGTAAACACACTATTCTGTTTTGCATCTAGGCGGAAATGCACTAACCGATCTCTTCTCCAGGTCTTCAGAGGGCAGAACTGTAGAGGTGCCGTACCGAGGGGACGTGGAACTCACCATCCTGGACATCCTCGGGGGGCTGCGCTCCACCTGCACCTACGTGGGAGCTGCCAAACTCAAGGAACTGAGCAGGAGAACAACGTTTATCCGGGTCACCCAGCAGCACAGCCAGGTCTTCTCGTAGCCCAGGACTGGGGGCCTGGGGAGAGAGGGGTGGGGGAGAGGGGCAGGAAGGTCTGCTGGTTTGTTTCGCTTTCTCCTCCACGCTGCGTTAGTGCAATCTCTCCTCTCTCAGAGTGGCTGCGTCATAGCCATTGGAAGGCACACATACACACACATTCCTGTAAGACTGACCTGTCAGCTGCCACCGCTTCTGGCGGTGCACCCTCCAGCAGGTGCAGGCTGGGAGAGAAAAAGATGTAAAGAATTGCATGGAGAAATCAAAAAAATCAAATTCTCTTCATCTTTGGTCTGGCAAAAGGTTAGATGTGTGTGGCACGGCTGCCAGCGTACAGAATGCCAGAGGCGGATGGTGGATGAGGCCTGGCTGCTGGTGACTTCTTACTGTGATGATACAAAAGCCAGATCTCTTTCAGTTCACAGTTCTGGTACTGCTGTTCTTACTTAAATCTCCCCAGTTGATGGACTTGCCTCTTCAGAGAAGCTGGCGTGGGATGTGGCAGGCTGCTGCTTTTCCCCCCTGCCCCGTCTGTGGAGATCACTCAGCAGAGAAGGGCTCGGAGTTTGCCTGCTTTCTCGTGCATGCAGCCACTGAATACACTCGCGGTCCTGCTTTTACCTGCTCTCTGCGAACAGATTTTTCAGGCATTGAAACTCGGCAACAGCAACCCACCAAGGGGAGGTTTCTCTGCAGCCCTCCCCGTTCCCTCGCCTGTTCGTGTCCATTTAGCAAAGATGTAGAAGTGCTGTGCCGTGCATTGTCTGTGGCCAGGCCAGTGAGGCCGGCGGGATCAAATTCACTCGTGGTTATTTGGTGCCACTCCTCTGCAGTCCGTGACACCAGGAAAGGCAAAAGAGAGCTTTGGGCAGAGTGGCGCGATCGCCAGACACTGGTAGGCTGAGATGGAGGAAAAGCGTTTGCTCTAAAGGCAATAATGAGCGTTTAAGACTCTGGGTAACACTTTAATAAAGTGTAATGGCCCTCTAATTAATTGATAAATCACAATGAAATTTCTTCGGAAATACATACTGCATCCCCATGAATACCACAGGAGCTCATTATGATAAACGATGTAAAAGTGAGCACCGATGAATTAATAATGCTTGGCCACTTACTTTAAAGCGCTGCTGAGATCGTAATTCAGCTGATGTTACTGCAGTGCTTCGGAGTCTTCCTTTCCCCTCCTGTAGACATCTGTAGAAAGAGGCAGGCTTCCTCTGAGAAGCGAAAGAGTGATCTGTAGGAAGAGCAACAGCAAAGAGAAACTCCAGAATTAAGCTTGCATGCTGGACTGCTCAAAAGGCCACGCACAAGGATTGGCACCATTGACCGTGCTGAGGAGCAAATGTAGGCCCCAGGCTGATCCCGGTGTTTTAAATGCCTTCTAATTCTTAATTGCAGTATGACCCCTTCCTCTGCTTTGGAGGTGACCAAGGGCCTTAATGTGAGCATGGGTCACGCTTGTGCTGGTTTTAAGGACCATTTGTCCTGCCCACACATCACAAAGGACCCTGAACGCAGAAGAGAGGTGGGCCCTGTGAGTGAAGGACCCGATCTCTGTTCCCTCCAGCCTGGGAGCATCCCACTAAAGAGATGTCGGGTTTCTGGACCACCAGCCTGGCCGCGGGCTGCTCTCGCCTGCCCTGAGCCCAGCGTACAGGCAGTGCCACTGCTCTGCACCAGCGCGGCTGCGGGAGGTCACCGTCCCTTGACTTGGGTGGTGGGAGGGCAAGCGTACGCTGGCGGCAAAGGAACAGCTCTGTCAGAGCGGGGTCAGACTGTCGGGCACAGGCCTGACCACCGGCATCTGTCCACGCTCGTGCCTTCACAGGTGGGAAGCGCAGCAGTCTGCTCTCTCATGCCTGCTCTTGCTAGTGCTTTTCTACTTTTTTTAGCTACATTTCTAAATGGAATTTCAGAAATACATATACATATGCAAAAATATATATTTGTAAACTTTTTTTTTTTAAAGGTCATGCGCACATTGAACAGAGCAGCTCTGTGACATGCCTTTGGAACGGTTTATTTTCCGAAGGGCAGGCACTGGGGACGAGGCAGGGCCGCCTCTCCCCGGGCAGGCGGCACAGCGAGCCGGCCTGCCTGGCCGCTTTCCTCCCCCTCCCCCACGCACCTCCGGCCGCGGAAGGGATGGGGACCGGCCAGCCTGCAGCTGTCCCTCGAATTCTCCAGGCTTGGACTGACACTGACGCTAAGAATAGTTACTGACAAAGCTTTGGCTTAGGGTATTTGGTTTTCTGAACAGCGGCTCTTGCCATCATTTCAGTAAGCCGCGTGTTTTCTCTTTCGTTTTTCTCCTCCTGTCTCCAAAGCGAGAAATTGGCTGCAGCAGCGCTGGGCGGGTGGCACGTCTGCCCCTCCCCCAGCGTTACAGGCAGGTCGTGTCCAGGGCTAACCCTCGGCTCTGTCAGTGCTCGCCGGGGACACTGTGCATGTCCAGCTCCCAGGCTGGCTGGAAAATGGAAGCAAGCTGAGCTGGGGCCCTCTTTTGACGCCCAGTCCTGTGTTCTACGAGTTGCCCTTTGTCTTCAGGCAGCGCAGGTCCCCTGCCCGCGGCCGCTCTTGCAAGGCTCTGGGGGCAGAGCAGGAGCGGAGGGTGCGCTGTGCCTGGCAGGGTGGTCCCAGCAGAGACCACCGCCATGGACAAAGGCCACGTGCCACTTGTGGCTCCACCTCACCTGCACACCTCACCGGGTTCTCTCTTGCTTGGTGTTCTTCTGTGGGAAGTGCTGGGTGATCGCGCCTCGCCTGGTCTGCGTGAACCCTCCCGCCCCAGTCCCATCCTGGCGAGAGGAGGCTGAGTGTGATGAGCTGCGCACCCCTCCTCTCCCAGTCCCAGCTGACACCCCCTCCTCTCCCAGCCGCCTTCTGGAGTGGGCCCGCTGCGGCGCATCTCTCCGGGCGGGCTGCTGGCCCCTGCCCGCGCAGCCTTGGGGAGGAAGGCCCCAGCATGGCGGCAGCCCTGCTCACACCCGAGCGATG